CAGACAGACAGACAGACAGACAGACAGACAGACAGACAGACAGACAGACAGACAGACAGACAGACTGAGGCTTGGATACGTTCACTGATAATTCCGACATGTACCAGGTGTGAAGTGCAGTTCGATTTTACTTTATTTTAATGTAGATTATTTTTACGCTCACATCGATAAAATTAGATCATTGAGGGGGTTGGCTTTGATGCAACACCCAGCAGAAACACCGAGATACTTGATAAAAAGTTTACCCTCTTAGTAATCAAGCTATACCACAGACGTTGATGTAAAGTAATGCGAGAGAACAGAATTCTATACAGTAGTGCATAAACTGTTTAATGTGTCCTGTGCGCTCATATGACCTATGCAGTTACTAGCGCCATAAAACACTTACCTAACACCCCCCCCAACTAAAATACAGTAATAGTGCGTTAGTTTGACTAGTCAAAAAATGCCGACCATATCGTTTAATTAATATTAGGGTTTTGTCACATTCAAATCTTTCAAACCCCTATTATTAGAAAATACAAAGCTGGATCATAACAAAAAGGCGTCAGTAGCCAAGTGGTTAGGCTACCGGACTCGTAGTCGTGAGGTTGCGGGTTCAGGGGTTCGATCCTCAGCCCCGCCCGACGTTGTGTCCTTGGGAGAAGCAGTTTCCGCAAAATTCCTATCTGGCTCAGTCCATTCGGAGACGGACGTTTAACTCTGAGATTCCGTCTCTCAAATGACCTAATAGTGTTGATAGAGGTGTTAAACCCATACCATTCCATCCTTTAATAATATTAAAGTTGTTGTTGTTGTTTTCAAATCCCTTTAGCTGCGAGTATTTCGCTCTTGGCAGCATAATATTAAAGTAAAAATGATAGTAATAATAATAATAATAATAATAATAATAATAATAATAATAATAATAGATCTTCCAAAATCATGAATGTATCAAGATTAGTTCAACGCTCCGCTTAGCTTTCCTTGTCAAGTCTCGTGAGTCCGTGCGTGATACACGGTAAACCCCTGAGATAGTGAAATAACAAAAATGATGTTATGACTGCAAAGAGAGACTCCGGGAATACTATACTGGAAAAACATTCTCCACGTCACAGCGATAGTTCTGTCAGTGCGCAGAGGTGATGAACCCAGTCCTGCTAAAACACATTTTAAAAAATAAAAAGCAAAAAAACTAACAAGAAAACAAAACCAATTCGCCGGGTGACACAGCTGAGATCGTAAGCATCTTTAAGAAATAGAAAAGTGAGTGAAAATTACAGAAGGGTAGGAAGACAAAACAGCCAATGAACTCAATTTTCGTGATCACTATTTTTAGAACCACCTCATAATGTAGTCTCATTAGTCAGATGTAATGCTTGGCTTTTTCTCGCGCTCTACAAAATCTTTTAAAAAAGAACAATCCTAAAAACCTCTTTGAGTCTGCGTCATGTACGCTTAGTTTCCTTTTCTGACGTACAGGGGATATTTTTAACCAGTAATATGAGTAATATCAAGTTGCGTTTATTTATTTTGGGATGTGGAGGTTTATTTGAAGAAATGGATTACTCATGAAAGTACTCATTCCTTTGTATTCCTAGACG